AGTTCATTTTGGTAACATGTAGGCACCAAGGACAGGCAGAGTTGTGGTCCTTGTAGAGCACATTGGATAGTCCAGGTGCTCAAGACGTCCTAGCTCTGTAAATGGGACTTCCCTGGGAGAGAAGAGTCAAGTGGAGAATTTTGCCCATTATGTGAGCACAGGCTGCACTGAGGGTTAGCTTTGTGCAACAAAACAAATGAAATAGCTGTGACTGAAACTATGCATTTTTCTCCACGCGCCAGCATGGCATTACGTAAATTATTGTTGCTGTCAAATTGCAATGAAGCTAAGATCTCACCTTGACAGATTTCACTATGATATTCACCAAGAACTGGGGAGGGTGGGAAAGGAGGGAGTTGTTCCATAGAAACACCTTCCCCACACGTTTTCCCAGACACCAGGGTTTCACACAAAGCAGAACAAATCACAGTCTTAGCAGTTCAGTTCAGTTCAGTTCCATACAGCTGCTTGCTGCAGGTGGTGCCCTAAAAATACGTTTGTTTATTTTGAAGCACTGCAGGCTGCAAAGCTGCACTCAAGAATGAAATAGATTCCCCTCCCTCGAACTCTCCCTTCTTCACTGTGAAGCCTTTTGTATCTTTTTAACTTGCTGGAAGAAGATGGTAAGACACAGAGATAAAGTGGTAGCAATGCGGCTCAGTCTCAGAAGAACCAAATGGGAAGTATTGGTATGGAGCACAGAGTAAAAACTGCCAAGCATAATGTATGACACTGAGATTTTGGTGGTGTACCACTTCAGAGAGGCAACTGCCACAATAACTGAGTGGTGGAAGTTTTTCCAAATAGATTTTCATAAATATAAAAAAACCCCAACAAACCAGACAGCAATTGGGCAAGAAGTAACGTGCTGATGTGGGAATGGCTACAAGATAGACATAAACAAGCATTATATGGTCATTTTTATATCTGTGATGCAGGGATTGATTTACTGATACGCACTACAGATTCTGCAGTCTTCCACTGGCAACACCCAATGCACTAAGTGCTCTGTGCCATGGGACAAAGGAGCGGTTGTGGCTGCTTTGCAGCCCCTATTATCACTGTGAGTTATTCCAGCCCTGCTTTGCATACATAAATGCTAAATACCCAAATTGGGATAATCCTTGTTTTATCAGAGCATTTTCTTGCACAAATTAGTTCTCAAATATTTTTTCCCCATTTTGAAGATTTTTTAAACCATGAGCATTCAGCTGCTCAAAGTATAGAGACCACCAAACTGAATTTTCTGTTACTTCTTCAGTGTGAGCTAAACTAACAATTTTGCCCAATTGTTTATCCTGAGCAAAATCCACTCCTCGGGATAAGCTGGCAAAATATCTGTGCATCATCACTTCTGTCTCTTTTTAGTCTCTGAGGCTGGTATTACACAATGTACACCTTCATTCTGTACACTAGGGAGTGCCTTGATCTTTGGGATCATTTACCTTCCAGTTGCTTTAATTACTACTTTGTTTAAGCAGCAGAAGAAATTAAAATTCTCCAAAATTTCACTCTTAAAAAAATAAAATCTGTGTTGACTTGCACAAAATTAGCAGCAGCATTCATATGGTTCACAATCTGGTGCTGTTTGCTTCTAGGACACATTGCTCCAGGGATTGAAGGTCTCTTGGAAACTATGAGTATTCTGCACCTCCTCAGCAGAGTGTCTGTCTGCAATCCTTGAACTATTCCACAGCCCACCTTGAGGCTTGCTTTTTAGAAAGTCTAAACTATGGGGGTTTTATAGCTTTTGTCTTAGCTGTCATATTCTTTTCACTAAGTAATCCACAGCAAATATCACATCTATGTGAAGCCTAACCTCCTGTAGCTGGGCTCCTTGTGAGATTTCTGGCAAGCTGTACAAAGTACACTCAGAATAATGTTTTCAAAGACTGATATAAGTGGTCCTCAGTGAAGCTGAATGTCTTTGTAACTTTTTATCTGTAAGCAGTAGAAAACATCCTTAAAAACATGCTGCACTGCCACCAGTCCTTGAAAAATCCAAGATCAACATTAGCTTGATCATTGTCATGAACATACAGAAATACAAATAGAAAGCAAGTAACCAATTTGTAGGTTGCAATTTATAGTTTTACAGTTAAAGTGCAAGTTCCACTTAAGTGCCCATAAAAGAAAATTGAAAGGAAAGATTTATTTCTTTATACTAAGTGGAGATAAATCTGACCTAAGTATTTGGTTTGTTGAAAGATAGTTTGCTTAAAAACCAAGCAATATCTACTCCTCTAACTTTGTGTTATGTGTCACTGAGCAATATCAGGTAATTCCTCTGTTTCTCACCACATTTAACATGATAGTGAATTCATACTAGCTTTTCTATTTGAAAAAGAACCCCATGCCAACAATTTGAAATGTGAAAATTATGTAAACAGTAAAGTTGCAAGAACTAGCTTCGGAAAATTGACCCTTACTTATTCTGTGTAGCTCTTTACCTATGATAATCACATTTACGTTAACATGAATGGAAATATAAAAAATGGAAATATGTTAGCTGGGTACAGCTAGAGGATTACCAACGGTTTGTTATTCTGAACCATTCCCCTGGCTTGCAAAGAATGACTGTATCTAAAAACATAGCTCTGTTACAGTACAGACACACACAAAACCTTGTTGCATCAGGAACCGAAAAGAGCTTGAACTATCTGTTCCTTGAGTTTCATGTTCATAATTCATTACATACAAAAAAATAAGGCAGAAAAATAAGCCCAAATATCTCCTTCAGAGGATCTGACATTAGAAAGGCTCTACAGAGGGATCTGGACAGGCTGGACTGCTGGGCTGAGGTCAATTGTATGAGGTTCAACAAGGCCAAGTGCTGGGTCCTGCACTTGGGTCATGCAATGCTGCAGGCTTGGAGAGGAGTGGCTAGAAAGCTGCTTGGCAGAAAAGGACCTGGGGGTGCTGGTTGACAGTCAGCTGAATATGAGCCAGCGGTGTGCTCAGGCAGCCAAGAAGGCCACCAGCATCCTGGCCTGTATAAAAAATAGTCTGTACTCAGCACTGGTGAGGCCAAGTACTGTGTTCATTTTTGAGCCCCTCAGTACAAGAAAGACATTGAGGTGCTGGAGCATGTCCAAAGAAGGGCAATGAAGCTAGTGAAGGATCTAGAGAACAAGTCCTATGAGGAGCACCTGAGGGAACTGGGGTTGTTTAGCCTGGAGAAAATGAGGCTGTGGGGAGACCTTCTCACTCTCTACAACTACCTGAAAGGAGGTTGTAGTGAGGTAGGTCTTGGTCTCTTCTCCCAAATAACAAGCAATAGAACAAGAGGAAATGGCCTCAAGTTGCACCAGGGGAGGTTTAAATTGGATATCAGGAAAAAAGTTTTCATCGAAAAGGTTGTTAAACATTGGAACAGGCTACTCAGGGAAGTGGTTGAGTCACCATCCTTGGAGGTATTTAAAAGATGTGTAGATGTGGTGCATGAGGACATGGTTTAGTGGTGAACTTGTCAGTGTTAGGTTTATAGTTGGACTCAACAATCTTAAGGGTCTTTTCCAACCTAAATTATTCTACGATTCTTTGAGTTGAGCTTGAGTGATAACAACTGCTTGTAAATTAAACTGTAAAGCTATTTTAATCTGACTTACTTATTTACACTGATTTTGTTGCACTTTTCTCTTTGTCTCTTTTGCACCAGCTCTAGCTTGTCAAAACTGCAGGTGTGAATTATTTGAAGAAAGGGTTGCTTTTGTCTTCCAGACCTATCTAGTGCCTGCCTTGCTACCTACTTGATCACAGTCCCTTTGCTCTGCTACAACATGGTCGGCTGAGGAGCACGGTGGAGATGTGGGATGGCTCCACTGAAGGATGGTAGCTGAGCTTTCAGGTGAATCAGCCACCAACATTTTACATAGAGCCCACATAAAGATGTATTGACACAGAGGTATTTTGTCACAAACTCACCTGGTACTTAGCCATTTATAGCTAGGCTAGGGAATAGACAGATGGAAAAGTTGCTCACTTTTTGGGTAGCTGAGGGCCACATTATATATTATGGACTGTCCAACTGTCTTGCATTAACTTCTGGATCTGGCTAACCAGATTCCATCTCTCTTTTGCTACCTTGGTGCCTCTTAGGACAAAATATTGGAATCTCATGACTAAAAAATGTATATAGAGGGAGTCATGCACCCAGGCACTTATCCGAATTTAGTTGTATAGTAATAGTTTTATTTACAGTCATACATATCTCCACCTGTGCATAAACATGTTTGTATCACTAAGGCAAACATAAAAATGCAGATCACAATTCAATGTAATTAATTCATTGTTTATGTCATCTTTTCACCTAGGTCAGAGACAACACAAGGCAAAATTATTAATACAGGTAAATACGTTTGAAAAACCTACCCCCTAACAAGTGGTTTTCATTCCTTATAAATTTTCTGCGGTGTAACAGTGGATTCTTATCCTCTTAAAAATATTTAAGATTTCTGGTTTTTATTTTTGTACAAGTACAACATTTTGTTCTTTTGGGAAGAACCTTTTCCATTCACCTCAAGTGCATATTGACTAATATGTTTAAAGACAAATTGATCAATTTTGAGTCCTGTGAACTGACCAGTGAATCTATTTTTACTGTTGAAAATTTCTCCTTCATTTTGACTTTTCTTTTATATTCAATTTGGCTTTCACAGCAATAGCTGTAGATTCTTTTGATGCCACAACCTGTATCATATAGTTTAATTTTAAAGTAGTGTGCTATAAATGATTTGTGGTATGGTCAATGACCAAAATGGGGGTCAGCAAACGAATGTGTCATGTCGGCAGTTCTCACAGAAATAAACAAGTACGTTGGAGTTTTTGGTGTACAGATGTCTTGAACTGGAAGCAAGACAACAGAGCTTCGTAACAAAACTAACAGTTAAGAGCCAGAGCTTGCGAACGAATGCCACAATGCTCCACTATTCTGGTCATGATGTTCTGCAAGAAAAAGTCTAGAAAAGGCAGTGGAAGTGAAGCTATCTGTAAACACTTACTGCAAGGAAGATCTGAAGAGAACTGTGAGCCACTTCTATGTACTGATATTCAAGAAAACACCCCGAGACAGTGATATAACGATGGTCCTCTGGTGCCCAGTCTGGGGCTGGGGTTACTGAGGTCACGGTGCAGCCCGGCCCATTCTCCATCCACCAAGAACGATGCATTGAGATATTAAAGGTCAGAATGAGATCTGTTTCCTGCAAAAGAACAAGTAAAGAATTAACACGTTGGGATGGTACTCCAGTATCAAATGCCTCAGGAAGAGATTTCACAGAATGCATAAAGAAGCAAAGAGCAGCGGTAAAACTGCACTGTCACATGAAATTTAGTGGAGCTTGTCTGCAGCAAGCACAAGTAGCTGTACCTTGGCAGGCAGAATTGCCTTGGAGCAGAAGAATAATCCTTCAAGCCAGGATCTGTTCCTAGACCTTACGGTAGCCTAAACTATAGCAGTCATTTCTGTTACATTGCCCATTTTCCTGTGGAAACCATAAGGACTGATGGATGTCTACATTTTACACAGCAACCCTTGTCTGCTCAGTTCCTAGAAATACGGACTGTATCTCGGTGGTCTGTTGTACCAAACTATAGAAGAGACCTTGGAAGCCAGGACTTCAGAGACTTTAATATGTGTGGGTCATCTGCAAGTAGTTTTGTTTCATGGAACCTGTGAAGCAGACCTATGGTAGTTCTGCTGAAATATTGGAAAAGACATAAAAAAAAAAAAAAGATTCTGTACATTTTCTTAGAAGTATAGCCTCTTTGTAATGCCTCTTTCAGATTTCTAACTTCCTAGGAGTCTGTGAGGAAGCAGCTAGTGAGTGTTGCCTAGTCTACACACTGCTTAGGTTGTTAAAAAGGAGGGACAAAAAAGCCTGCCACCTTTAACTCCCATGCAGCTAGTGCAATGGAGTAGCTTGTCAGCCATGCTTTCCATTAAGTTCACATCTGTAAATAGTTCATAAAGGATTAATAAATTATTAATATACATCATAAACAATACTACGGATATGACTTTCATAAATTATACGTGGTTGCACATTACTTGAGGATGTTATACATAGTTATAACAAAATTATGGACTTTGTGGACTCTGTAAGAGCCTACAGTGTTTACCAATCCTTTATAAATTATTTGTAAATGTAACCTCATTGTAAAGTGTGACTATCTAGTCTGTGTGCACATGTGCTCAGTCATGCAAAAGAAATAATTTTTAAGTAATGTCTTTGCAGAGCCAAACTCTCCCCACACCTAACCTACATTTTTTTCAGCCTGTTGATGACATTAATAATTAAGAATCTCATAAAGATTTTAAAATCTAACATTTAATTAGGTTTATCGTGCCAAAAGGAATAAATAGAATGCCATTCTATAGATATGTTGTGTCCACATTTCCCTCCCTTTAAAATAGTAATTTTTTCAATCCCACTTATTTTCCCTCTTTGCACGAACTCATGCAAAGGGAACTCCATCCAGAGAGGTCCTACATAATGTCATGACTGACATGTCAATCGATCCATGATGACACTTGACAAGGTAGTGTAGCCTACCATTTTTTCTTTAAGCTGCAGTTCTTGTCTAAAAATGCAAAAATTTTGTACATTTAAAAAAAATCAATTATTACCCTGTAAAAGCACATCAAGCTATCAGATGGCAAGAAGAACCATAAATATTTTTGCAATTAATAATTACCCTACATTCTCACCACAGCCCAATTCAGTAAATAATAAGCTGTCTGAGAAAACATAAGATGCTTCACATTAATTCAGTCATGCAATTAACTTCAAGCATTTGAAGATGATCAAAGCAACAATGAACTTTGTATAAACTATGCAAATTCACCCCAAATAGATATATTTACCTATGGCTTCTACCTAGTTTTCACCTTCAACAAACCTCTCCTTTCTGTGAATCCTTCCCTACCAAAGCTGAAGACACTGGAAAGTATCTGCCAGATGTTTCTTGGAAATGAGCATTTTTACCTTATATCCAAGCCAGAAGACTATTTCTCTTTCTGGAGTCAGGACTGTTACAGCCCCTCAGTAGCACACTGGCCTTCTCAGCTAGTATAAGAAGTTGAAGAATGGGTATCTTTGGAGTAACTTTGCTTAAAGTAAAAGATTTATTCCTGAATTACTAAAATTGAAATCCATCATGTTATTGTCAGAAGACCTTTAAGCCATTCTAGTTACCATGGAAAATTCTTAACCTCTAGTCTCTTATCAGAGACACAGCATGAATGAATAGGACTCATTGTCTAGCTCTACTTTATCATTTGCAATACCTTCAGAAGAATCATGATGGACTAAAAAAATTTTACAAGGTGTAGACAAGGGATGAAAATGTATTCCTTTGATAAAGAAAGGGATTAACTGGCTTGCAGGAACTGAGTATTTGTTATGCATCTGCCAGATAAAGTTAAAATGGATCAGGAGGAGCTAAACATCAAGATCAAAATGGCTCTCTGGTTAGAACATCATTGCTCATGATGGTCATGCTTGCTTACAAAGGGTGCACTAATCCAAAACTTTACAGGTTAAAAGCACAAGTAAATTTCCAATTTACAAAGAAAATATAATCACACATTAAAATATTTATAATTACATAAAACTTCACAAAGTCCAGCTTGCTTCCATCCCTGAATTTATCCCCACATGATTTTGTGAAATAATTCATTATATTTAGAAAATTCCCTTGCCCTCAAATAATCTTTTTGCAGTTAAATTGAATGCTGTGATTAGGACTAAATATTCTTGTTTTGTTCAGGAATAGTTTTTTAGTGCTTACCAGTAAAAAATTACAGATCTTTATGAGATCTATATTCTATTCTTATCCTCAAGTAATCATTAAGATGTTGTGCTTTTTCCTCTGCTCATAAAATAGACCTAATACTTGTCACAGGAATGTTATATTCCTTAATTCTTAATATTAGTAAAAGCAAATAAATCCTCCTGAAAGCCCTTACTTCAAATCTTAAAGAACTTTTAATAATGTTGTTAAGAAAACTTTCAAGGAGTGTAGCTAATACTGTATTGAATCAGTTAACAAACAAGGCCAACTTCAGAAAGCAAAACAATAAGTGGAGGTGAAATCTGATTTTGTTAAGATTAGATATCATCCATGGCTCAGGTCAAACCTGGCTGGAAGAAGAATGATAATGAAGCCAGATTTTCAGAAGCAAACACCTAAGTTAAACCTTGTAAATTCTTGTCCCCAAAATATGTGGGACAAGACTAAATGAGGAAGGAGCCTATTCACTACAAAGTCAGCTGCTGCACAGTTAGCTCTTCTAAGGTATAAATTGTTATGGGCTTTGAACTTGCCTATAACCTTCAAACCATGTACCCCTGTATGCAACCATATAAGCAGAGAAGTTTTTGTTGCTTAGTAGTGAAGGTCACCCAGCTTATGGAAAATTTTTACTTCTTAGTGAGAAAACTGACAAGGACTTGAATCCCCTTGTAGAACTGTGTAAGCCAGGGAGGGGATGATGTATCTATCATTAATGTCTCTTATACTGAAAACATTTAGAGCTACTTTTGGACAAACTCCACTTGCTATTTACTTTATTTACTGTTTGAATACAGTTTTAGTGGATGTATACCAAGTCTACAACAGAAACTGGGGATTTGTTGTACTCTCCAGTGTATTTGCCGTCTGTTTTCTTTCCAACATCTGTGGTTCAAACATTGTTCAGGGAAATACAGAGAAATGGTCTGATAAGCCTTGAAGCTATGAAACCTAACGAGAACTGTTAATACACATTGGGCATGCCGATATGGTGTTGTTCACAGTCTGTATGTCAAGGAAGATTTCATTATCCTAAATTCAACAAACAGCTGCTTCCTTCATGGACACAGAAATACATCTGTATGAGCTTTATTGATGATCGCTGTGCTGCTTTTGTAAATCCTGCTGGTATTTGTAAAGCTTGTTAATGAAAATTGGTGCATTAAAGTAGATTTTGCTATTCATCAAGGAGGAAAAAAACAGAGGAAAATATTTAGTAGGACATCTTTGCTGACATTCTTAAGATGTGCTGGTATTTGTAGTGATCAGGAGAAGTACTGCTGAATTAGAAAAAGGCTAGAGTTTGGAGGACTCAGAGACATCTTCAAATTAAGTCTGTAATTTTATTTCAGCTTAGTTTGTAAAAAATGTTGAGCTCTAATGGTTTTATGCCTGTGTTTAATATGATAAAGAGTTTAGACCCTGGTAAAGGGTCTAGAGAACAAGTCTTATGAGGAGCGGCTGAGAAAATTGGGGTTATTTAGCCTGGAGAAAAGGAGGCCAAGGGAAGGCGGCTGAGAAAACTGGGGTTATTTAGCCTGGAGAAAAGGAGGCCGAGGGAAGACTTTATTGATCTCTACAACTACCTGAAAGGAGGGTGTAGAGAGGTAGGGATTGATCTGTTCAATCAAATAACGAGTAATAGAACAAGAGGAAATGGCCTCAAGTTGCATCAAAGGAAGTTTAGATTGGATATTAGGAAGAATTTCTTTACTGAGAGGGTTATCAGGCATTGGAACAGGTTGCCCAGGGCAGTGGTGGAGTCCTCATCCCTGGAGGTATTTAAGAGTCATGTAGACATAGTGCTTGGGGGCATGGTTTAGTCAGGGACTTGTCAGTGTTAGGTTAATGATTGGATTTGATGATCTTACAGGTCTTTTCCAATCTAGGCAATTCTGTGATTCTGTGGTAGGTAACAACTTCTGTTGGGGTTAACTGCATAGTACATAACATTTTCTGGCTGAGGACAACTGATGACAGAATATGGTAGAAGAAAGCTTTGTAAGAGTTGTCAGAAATGAATACAATCTTTGTGTTAAGAAGCAGCAGGAGGATGGCAGCGCTCAAAATGAAGATAGCTCTGTGTGTATTGTATTACTACTAGTATATATTGTAAATATACAGTCTCTATCTGGTAATTACAATATATTACTGTTTCAACGATTTTGCTAGGTGTAGCTTAGAGAAGCTGATCCCAAACGCAGTGCCAAGAGAAAAAAGAGGTACAAGTGATTCAGGGTGATTCTCTTTGAAAGTCCAGGAAACCTCGCAGGCTCAGGGAAATTAAATTGTACTGAATTCAGTGGTTGTGGCTTACTGTGTCATGGGAAATAAGTTTCTTTAGTTTTTCTAATTAGGAATTGCTGAAATCAGTGCAAACCTGCCAAGCTTCTGCACAAGT